TTGCATAACTTTGGCTGTGCCCCACCTTCACCTGCATGTGTGCTCCTTGCTGTGCAGCTGTAGTACAGAAGCTGACTGTTCCCACCTTCCCTCCGTGCTCTTGCAGAACACCGCAATGGAGCTGAATGCAAGGACGCTTTAAGCAACCGCTGCCAGCCTCAGCCTCTTTTGTGCTCTCTGAGCCCAGAGCATTCAGTTCAGTTGTGAGAACACAGACTAGCCTACATGCAGCCCTTGTTGGTGCTTGTACCTTATGTGCACACTCTTACTTCAGTTTCAGAGTGCCTTGAACGGCCTTCTAGCCACTTAGCTGAAGTTGCAAGGAAATGCTGAGTAGCATTGCAGTGAGTGAAAGGGTGGGGGAAGAGAATATACAAATTAAAAGAGAGAAAAATTGAGATATGACAAGATGCAGGAGAATGAGGAGATGAACAGATTAAAAGAGAGCCCGTGTCATCTGTGCTGGAAGCAAATTGGGATACAAACTGACCAGAACAACAAAATATCTGGGCACTATTGATCTACAAGGAGCTCTTGGGAACAACAATTCAGAGGCAAACTGCCTGTTAACTTTCCATTCCAGCCAGCCAGAGGAAAGCACTTTGCTGCCCAGCGTTCATTTTTGTTTATCGGCCCAAGGAAGTTGTTTTCCAGCGGACTTGACTCGTGACGGCCTGGACAGAAGCAAACTGAAGCTGATGACTTTCCAACTTCTGCTGTAGATAGTCTGGGCTGGAAAAATGCAGCTCCCTTCATGTTTCTTTATTTAGGTGAACATGGGGTTGGACAAGGGGGCTGGAGGGGGAGGTGGAGGGATTAATTTGATTGGCGAGAGGGAGAAAAGCAGAAGGAGATTTTGCTGCTGGTAAAATAGGATCCAGGTCAGCTGAATATATTCTTTTGGCTTTATTACAAGCTCCATATTTATTTCCTCATCTGAGTATTGTATCAGGGCTGGACAGAAACCGAAAACAAGCTTTCACCTTCTCATATAACTTCTGATGATTGCATTGGGCGTTTTGGGTCTGTGAGGAAGAAGCACAATCTAATGGGTAGGACACTAAGCCAGGGATGCAGAAGACCTGGGATCAGTTTCCTGTTCCATCACAGACTCCATGTCCAGTTCCAATGGGAGTTAGGCACCTAAACACCTTTCAGGATCTCTGCCTCTGTCCTTTCGCGCTGCATCTCTAAAGTGGGGAAAAGAGCATTTAGTGTGTTAAGATAAATATATTACAAATGGCCAGATATTCAGATCCAGCATTGAGGGTCATTCAAATACCTCAGCTTTGTGTATGAGCAGGGTAGGACCTGCTTTACGTTTTTACAAGGATCATATAAAATAGATATAATGGCTTCTGTTTTGCTGTATGTTTGTTTAAGCTCATTTCTAAATCCTTTGGCTAGTGTTGATCATTGAGGACTCATGCTCTATTGTTGTCAATTACTTATATTACTGCAGTATTAAGGCTTCATCCAAAATTGAGGCCTCATTGTGCTGGGGTTGTGCAAAAATATGTGCTAATACACAATCCTTGCCCCAGCCTATACAGACACATGTGAGAAAGGATAATAATACTGCCTCATTTTACAGAGGGAGAGCTAAGCCTGAGGCACAGAGGCTTGGCTAGACCAGGCAGCTCAATTTAAGGTACACTGCAAAATGCATAGCTGGAGTTGGCTAACCTTAAACTGAGCCACGGCAGCATCCACACAGCAGGAAGCTGACAGGAGAATCCACTCCCATCAGCATACTTTACTCTTTGCAGAATGAGGAGTGCTGGATGCTGGTGGAGGCTGCTGCAGGTTTACATTGGACCCACTAAATCAAATGCTAGAAGATTGAACTCCGGAGGGCTGATCGTCTCCCTAGTATAGACATGCCCAGAGAGACTAAAGACTTCTTTATACCATGGTGTAATGTGCAGTATAAGTATGTGATTTTTAAAGCCCTCTATTGTGTTGCAGCCGGGTTAAGTATTCCATGTAGATTCTGCTGATGTGCTTTAACATAGCGCTGTTGGAAACACTAAGGAACACTTATTGCCATTGTGCCCAGCATTTATTTATTGTATTGCCGTTGTGTCCAGTGTGACTAGTTGGCTTGAACAATGTTTGAGTGTGGCTAGTTCACTTCAGAACTGGTTGGACATGGATTTAGTGCATATGAGCAGTGTCTACATGGACCAATTAGCGTGCAAGACGTGCTTTAGAAACCATATCCCCACAAAGCACAGTACACCACCATGTAGACAAGACCTTAGCTGCAGGAAGGCTGAGGCAGAGCTAAGAATTGAACCTGGAACTCTGGATTCTAATCTAGTGACTGACCCACAAAACTGTTGCCAGAGAATAGGAATACCAACTAAATATAACATTCTACTCCCTGTCCTCTTACATGAATGTAAGTTCAGGACATTGTGCACTTTTCAGAAGTCTGTCCTGGATTTGGCTGAATCAAGCCTGCGATTGTAAAACTTTTGCAGAAGGGGCTTTGCATTTTTTTTGGGTAAGAATCTATAACGTTATGGTCATTATATAAATAAATAAGACAGTACAAAAAAGTTCCCTAGCTATTTAAAGTCCAATTATTCTCTCTCACTGGTGTAAATCTGGAATAATCATCAAAGTCCACAATGTGTGGATGTAGTCTAATGTGTAAATGTGGTCTAAAGGAAATGACAGAATAAAGTCCATTTATGTTCAGGACTGATCTTACCTAGTCAAAACTTCCTTTGAAGCTAGTGAGGATCATGCTGATATCAGCTAGTATGAGGAGCAGCCCATCTGGTCAATTTCAAATGAGTGAAATTTAATAAAATAAGGACACTAACATATGAAATATACAAAGGAGACAGTATGGCAGCTTCTTTTTGTTTATAGTTTGGTTTTTTATTTATTTAGTTTGTTTCTTGAATACACTGATTTTGTATATGGAAATTCGATTCTGTCAAGAACTGCCAGACTAAGGCATTTATTTTTTAAAAAGTACAATTTCATAATCTTTATAACAGAAACCAGATTAAATGGACATTGTAACAGCTCATTGATCTTTATTTAAGATCCTCCTAGTATGTGGTCACACTGGAGTGGTGTTGAAACTTTTATTTGCTTTCAGATGTAGCAGTTACACTGGGACATTTCAAATGAGATTTGGTAACAAATAACAGTAACAATAATAGTTTTCTCTGTATGTAAAGCTTAGCTGTTAATGCTGTTTTTCCCTTGGCTGTTTAGTTTACTTTGTGAGTGCTGTTGGTTTGATTTTATACTGTGTAGAGAATTATTGGGTGTAAAATGGGAGATTACAACTGAGTAGCCTTTAAAAATAAATAAATAGTCATAACAGCTAATATAGGGCACACAGAGACATTGCAAGACCTTATTTTCCATGTGGGGAGGGGTAGTCTGATTCTGGAACGATCCTATGGGGCCTAGGGGATTACATGCTTTCTAGAGGAGTTGCCAAGATGGTCTGTCAGACTGACAGAAGAGAGTGCGTTTAGACAGACACATGGATGGTGGTAGTTTGTCACCAGACCCACCTATCTGTCTGTCTGTCTTTGAGTACTGCCCTCTAGCTCAATGTACACTCCTCTCTCTGGCTCATTATCTTGTAGATTGGTTTTTAATTAGCCTCTTTCAACCCTAACACGACACAATCAGGCCCAAGGAGGAGCGAATGTCCCCTTAGAGAGGCCAGGCGGGCGAGGTAATATTGGCCCAATGCGTGGTGGTGAGCGAGTCAGACGCTGTCTCATTGGCACACACCTCTCTGCTCCCTCCAGCATGGCCAGAGGCAGAGCCCTCGCCCCCACGAGAAGGCTCAATGGAGCGCTAATGGGGAGGGCAGCTGTGGGACTCCAGCCTAGGGAGGAGCCAGCCCGCCTGTTGCTCGGGGTGGGCGGCGGTGCTCGAGCGCGCAGGGAACCCCCCCGTCTGCCAGCCCCCGTGCAAAGGGTTAAAGCGAGCCTCAGCCTTGAAGTGGGCTGGAGGGAGGGGCGGAGGGATTAACTTGATTGGCGAGAAGTTTGTAGCTGGGCGGCGCCGGGCCGCCCTTACTGCGCTGCGCTCCCCCAGAATCACAAAGCCCTGCAGGGAAACTCGCTTTCTCGCTTGCTCCTTGGCTCCCACTCTTCCCCCCTCCCTCGCCTCCCCCAACGGGAGTGCGGCTCCGCGAGACCCAGGCCGGCATCCCCCCGCGCCGCGCTCCCGCAAG